CGGTTTCCGATTGTCCGCTCACCTTCTTTCCGATCCTGAAGGCTGCGCGAATGGTTATATTTTCATTCCAATTAAGCATATTAAGGTCAGCGGAGATCCTCTCCTTCGGGGGTAGGAGCATTCGACTCCGATAGGCCCTGGACGACTATGCAGTGCTGATGATCAGGGGGTTTATTTGTTCTGTTTCCGGCGGCCTTGTCAGCTGAAGGTCTCAGAAGATCCACCGGAGTCGTCTGGGGTTCTATACTCCCGTTGTGGCGCTTACCCTTTCTATCTTGCCATGAGCTTGTTTCCTCACTTCCAACTGAGGGTCGTATTGAACATGCGGAATGGCTGAGAGAAGTTGATGGTTCGCTTGGGTTGTCTTCCATAGAAACAAGAGACTCCGTTGCTATTTTCCCATCGTCCTGGGTATCGGCGCCCTTGCACGGAGGTTTCCCATAAGCTTTGTTCTTTGGCTGTTTTAGAGTTTTGCTCTTTCCATTTTTCTTGCTAACTTTAGCGCTATTCACCGCGTTTTGCCCGAAATAAAATTCTCCTAGTTTAGCCAAGATCCTTCCTTATAGATTGGGAAGATACATAAAATCCAGGCGTTGGCCTTCCTCTAAAAGATTCCTGAACATGACTGGAAGGGGGTTGCATAATTCATTGGCAAGTTCACGAGCTGCAAACGGAGCAGCAGATTCAGACCAGACAATGCGACAAGCCTCAGTCATGGCAGTTTTGTCCCAAATACTGATGACAAATAGTGCAGTCCCTGCACTCAGCAAATCAAACAGGTTTGGTCGATGTGTAGATGTGAGAAAAATATTTCGGCCTCGAATGATGACCGGTTAAAAGAAGTTGGGCGGAATGAGACACTTGACCCTGTCATCGAACCCCATCGCTCTGTTTTACAACGTAAGTACGGTGGGTGGGTCCTGGTTTTTCCACTGTAACGATGCATTACTTTGCGGTATTAAAGGACGTTTTTCGATATTTTCGGTTTTGGATTATTACAAATGTCTCATTGATGCTCATATCCCTGCAAGTGAGCTTCAACTCTACAGCATTCCTTAGACTGACTTCTTTTCAAGAAAATGTATGTGGTTTAGAGCTCATCCGCATCTGATGAATACATTTACTGTTCTTCTGAGAAGACTGTTAATTTGAAAAGTTTTCTTCCGTCATGAGCTTAAACACCTCCAGTCATCGCATCGTCTGCCATGTAATTCCGTTTTCCGTAGTATCTATAAGACTTACATTCTCTTAGGCGGAAATTATCCTCGCCAAACATATTCTAACAGACGTGTCCGGTTACACGATACACCATACATGACAGCACAGATACTAGCTAAAAGTCCAGCTGTCGGCTTGAGTCTAGAGAATGTAATCCAGACTGATATGCTCCCAACAAGTGATTAATTTATGGGGTAATTAAGAAGCTGCAGACCTATATGGTTTGGAAAAACGACACTCCAGGCGCATTGAAATACGGTTATTAAACCCTACTGGTTTTGCAACTTTCCCCTCCCTGCACGCATTCCGAAAGCAAGAGTGCGACAGATAAGCTTGTCAAGTAATCTCATGTCAGCTTATAATCATCAGCAGCTATGGTCATTTCGTAAATAACTAAAGTAATGACCAATCCTCCTTTACATCATCGGTGCCTTTTGAGGAATTTATGTCCCCGACTCATATTCCAGGCTGTGGAATAGTTGTGAGCGAACACTATATCAGGTTTGTTTTCGCTAACTGCAATTTAGAGCCCACACAATTTTTAGAATTGGCTTTGAACATTTTCCGAGGCATTCTTTATTTCTTGTCTTGTCGTGGATGCCTATTCTTTACTGTTACGTATTTCCCTCTGATAAACGAGTACTTAAGCCGTACTTTCTGACCGAGTTTCGTTTTTAACAATTTTCCAATCCGTCATTTTTAAATTCTATTCTAAATTTCTTCATATTCAGCCTTACTTTCGAGTTCGCATTCCTGCCAAATGAATTCTATAAGTACATTTTGATCTAACTGAAGCACTGTCGGTGCCTTATTTTCAAGAATTATTCTGTGCACCTTAGGGATTTATTTTGGCCCGATTGTGGAAGACGAGTTCCCTAAAGCCATCAGCCCACTGCTCGAGAGTGGCAAAAACAGCAATGTCCGTACTGTACGCCATAAAGCGTGCGTTTATGGACTTCGACGAAGATGCTTTCTCAAAGACATTCGGAACATTCCTCCGATCGCATTTGGAGTACGGCATACAAGGCTGGAGGCCATGGGCGGTTGAGGATCAAAACTGCCTCAAAAGAGTCCAGAGGACAGCCACTAAGATGATTAGGGGTCAAAACTCCTTTCCTTATGCAACCCCCTAGTAAATCTAAACCTCTTTCCTTTGAGTTACAGGCAACATCGCGGGGATCTCTTGCAAGCCTTCCGCATTGTTAATGGATTGGATTGCAGTCTGGCCTTCGAGGATTTTTTTGAATTTACTACCACGACCAACCTCTGAGGACACCCGCTAAAATGCGCACTCAGCAGGCAAGGCTGGATGTGCGGAAGTTCTCCTTCTCTGTTCAAATGGTCAAACCATGGAATGCCCTGCACGCAGATGTTGTGATGTCACCATCTATACAGAGTTTTAAAAAGAGTCTGGACATATGTATGCTCCGAAATGACCAAGAGCGGGGAGATGTTGAGCTCACCCCCTGTAACTCGTTCTATTTTTGTCCTACCATTATGGGCGTGCTTAAACTATTTCAGCCCAGAACATTCATCTGTATACAGCGCATTTTTACGTTGCAAATAGAGTACTCAAAGGCTTACACCTATTTCCCTCAATAAACTGAACTGAACTGAAAGACTGGGCGACCCCAGTGGGATTCGAGTCCGTGACAACAAGGTGGCTTGGTTGCAGTCAGTGCTCCATCCACCTGACTTATGAGGCCTCTTGGGGGCCGTGATTTTAATAATGCTTGGGGCAAGTGACCCACCCAGCTTAATAAAACATATGGAATCAAATTCCCGACCTCGACCCCTAAAAGTCATTTTGGAGACTGAAGCACAGGCCCAGCTCCTGTTACAGAGAAAATCATCTCTACGGGGTCAGCATCCTGAAGTTTTTTTCAGCCGGATTACGAGCCAAAAGAGCGAATGAAAATGAGAGAGCTGACGACGGAGCTGGAAAAGCGGAGAAACAGCGGCGAAACACGCCTACAAATCAAGAATGGACAAATAATTCAGGTCAAAGGGACATTTCTCTGGCCGAAGGCCGTCATTCTGACAGCCTAACCGATGCAAAGGTGCCAACTCCTGAGGCTGCTCGAACCAGTGGCCGCTGTCTAGACATCTATTACACTAACTGTCAGAGTCTTCTCAACATGCTAGATGAACTCAGATTACTTGTCTCTGAACAGAAGCCACACATAATTGTCCTAACAAAGACATGGTTGACTGAGGAAATTAGTAGTAGCGAAGTCAGAATTGAAGGCTACCAACTGTTCCGTTGTGACAGATTTTACCGTAGAGGAGGAGGCACAGCTATTTATGTGTCAAATGAAATTGCGTGCTGTCAACGAGAAATTTCCGATGGTGCGCCCCGAAATTTTGAAATAATTCCATGCAAGATATGTGTCAAACAATTACCGACACTGAACCTGTGTGTTGTCTATCGGCCTCCCGGTTCGAATGAATTCGCCGATATGGAGTTACTTAGTTCACTGGAGTTGATATGTAAACAGGATAACTTACTACTTCTGGGTGACTTCAACGCTCCAGGAATAGACTGGAACATTCCCCTAACAAACGCCCCGTCCACGTCATTTGACCACAAGCTTCTACAACTCTCCCTGAATGAATACCTCATTCAGCACATAAAATTCGGAACAAGAATGAGAGAAGGACAACTATCTAACTGTTTAGATCTCGTTTTCAGTAAAGAAAAAGGACTCATAAAGGACGTTAATCCACAACCTCCACTCGGTTTAAGCGATCATATTGCTTTTACCTGCGTGTGCTCTCTCCTATCCAACCAACAACCAAAAATCCAGACGCGCAGAAATATTTGGAAGGGCGACTTTAACGCAATGAGACGCACTCTTTTGGAGGAAACCTGGTTGTTCAACACAGAAGATTCAGACGAATTTTGGCAGTACTTTCGCGGGATTAGAGAGCGTCTGATTGATTCCCACTGTCCAAGAAAAATGACAAGACCATGTATGCGACCGCCGTGGGTCAATCCAACGACAAAAAAGATCATGAAGAAGAAACGGAGACACTGGAAAAAGTATTTGCAACTTCGAGATCCAAGGTCACTCGCGGAATATAAGGATCAGCGCAATAAATGCCGTAAAGAAATACAAATTGCTAGAATTTCTTTCGAGCGTCGACTGATGGCAGAATCCATTACATGTCCCAAGAAGTTTTACGGGTACATCCGCAGTAGGAGGAAACATAGGGACGAAATTGCGTGTCTAAAGGATAGCCTCGGAAACTTATTAGTTGAAGGGTCACAGAAAGTGCGATTACTGTCTCAGTTTTTTCAATCGGTTTTTACGGAGGAGTCCTTAGAAGACAATCAGCAGTTTGAAATGGACCGAGACAGCCGGGAGCTTCAAATGCGCTAAGATATTGCCGTCATTGAAGCCGTTGCCTTTTCCGTCGAAGAAGTCAGACGCGTCCTCAGTCAAATAAAACCTGATAAGTCTCCTGGACCCGACGGAATTCCCGGACTAATACTTAAGGAGCTCTCAACGGAGCTGCCAAAGCCTCTTTCGACTCTCTTTGAGCTGTCAATGAGAACAGGAAGGCTGCCCTCACAGTGGAAGACAGCTAACCTCGTTCCATTGCATAAGGGAGGTAGCAGGATGACAGCAAGCAGCTTTAGGCCTATTAGCTTAACTTGTCTCCCTTGCAAAACGATGGAAGCTAAAGTAAAGTGCGCTATACAACAATTTTATGAAGAAAATAACATCTTGCAGGGTTTTCAACATGGCTTCCGGAGAGGACGCTCCTGCCTCTCAAATATGCTTGCTTGTCTGGAGATCTGGACCAGGGCTCTAGAAGAGGGTTTTGAGGTCGATGTCGTATACATCGATTTCCGCAAAGCTTTTGACACGGTCCCGCACCAACGTCTTCTTCACAAATTGAGTGCCATCGGCATCCGGGGAGATCTTCTGAACTGGATTAGGGCGTTTCTGGTTGGTCGGAAACAACGCGTCTGTGTCGGGGATGATATGCCAGAATGGGTGAATGTGACCAGTGGTGTGCCTCAAGGCTCAGTTCTGGAACCATTGCTCTTCATCCTTTACGTTAACGACAGCCTTCAGGAACTCGACTGCGGCAAAATAATGTTTGCAGACGACGTTAAGCTCTGGCAAGTCATTAAGGGTCCGAATGATCAGAGATCCCTTCAAGCTAATCTGCACCGATTGCAAGAGTGGTCGAAGAAATGGTTTCTAGATTTCAATGTGGATAAGTGTGCCATCCTTCATCTGCGTCCAACAAGCTCTCATTCAAATGAGAGTCTGAGGACATATCACCTGAAAGATATAAGGCTCCCCGCAGAATCGTCACAGAAGGATCTCGGGGTTTGGATACAGAACAACCTGAAACCAACACTGCAGTGCCACAAGGCTGCAAAAAACGCCATGGGAGTGCTGCATGCAATAAAAAGGGATTTCGTTAACTTTGACCAAGACCTTTTTAGGAGAGTTTACGGCGCATTTGTTCGGCCCCACTTAGAATATGGCATACAAGCATGGCGGCCTTGGCTAGTATAGGACCAAACATGCCTCGAACGAGTACAACGGCGTGCAGCAAAGCTGGTAAACGGTCTAAAAAGCCAATCCTACACAGAAAGACTGAATTGCCTTAATTTATTCCCTCTGTGTTACAGGCAACAAAGAGGTGATCTTATCCTCGTCTACAAGATAATACATGGCCTTGAGTATGGACTTAAATTTGAGGATATGTTTCAGTGGCACCTTTCACCCAATCTTCGTGGTCACTCGATGAAGTTACGGGCAACAATGTCCAGGCTGAATCTTCGCTCTGAATTTTTCACGCAGAGGGTAGTGGAGAAATGGAACGATCTCTCTCAGTCAGTCGTGGAGGCGACGTCTCTGCAACTCTTCAAGAAACGCTTGGATGATTATTTGTGTCCCCTGTTTTCCCTCGACAGTCTGAATCTGAATTAATACCCCTGGTTCAGACGAATATTTTCCCTGAGACAATGCTACTCAAATGAACCAAGTACTGTTTTAATAGTGAACATTTTTTTTTCGTGTACAGTTATTTCTAACGAGCTGACATGTAATCAATTGGGTTTTCAAAGGCTTTGCCTATTATCTTTACCAAATAAACTGAATAAACTGAAAAAATAAACTGAATCCACCAAATCGGATACATTAAGTGGATTGCTCAAAGAGGACTTCGCAAGTAATCCATCTAGAATCCACCACATTATAGAACGTGTACTCAAGTTTCTCTCTTGCTCTCCTTGGTTCGAATACAACCGAGTTTGCTGAGTTCTTTCCAGTTGGGACAAAACAAATTACACAAAACCTACCCAGACATATATTCATTTTGGAGGTTATCTCAGGACGTTCAGTGACTCCGCTGAGTCACTGAAAAGTTACCAGTTCTGTAGGACAACATTTATATATTTAGGAAGATGTTTGTCGTTCGCCGACCTCTCCTTCGAAACGCATGCGTGGATCCTGGGAAACTCTTCACAATTTTAGTTCATTTTTGATTGTGGGAGAGCATCATTTCTTTGCCTCCCCTATAACGTCCCTTTGCCTCTGAAGCGTTCCTTACAAACAATGCCGTATCGGTATTGGGGAGATTTCTGTCTGAGTTTGTAGATATGGAACCAAGTTTGTGTTCCGTTTGCCGACAACGAACTGTAAACTTACAGGTTAAAACTCTATAGGAGTTTGTTGTGCACGATGCTTGCATATCTGATTCGAAAATATAACTTTTCACTTGCGATCCTCTGGCGAACCGTGTCTCCTTTTAATTTGGTCATGGCTGGTCATTAATTTAGTATACAAGACTTTTTTAATCACGAATGAAGACGAAATAATAATTGCCGGTTGTGGCCCTTGAAATGTATTTTATGTTCTTGATTGTTCAAATTAAAAACTACAACAAATATTTACGATGGCGTAGCCGATGGAAGTAGGTGCTTCGAAAGGTCAGAAAGCATGGGTGGGAAAATTAATTCGTCACTAATTAAATCAGGCTACCCTGGTGTTCACTTTCACTTTAAGAACGAGCATCCATCACAAATATCCTCGGAAATAGAGTCTGTAATTTTTATAGGGATGGAACAGAGTGGATTCAAGACCTAAAGAAAAACGCGACCATGCACGGCACGAGAGGCCCACTCGACTGTAGGACTCACTCATGAAATCGGCCAGTAAGGCTGTACATGCTCCGTCATAAAACAACCGTTATGTCTTTGCTGACGCGTAAAGCTCTATTAGTGGCCCGGTGAACACTCGGGGTCTTACCCAAATGGAACTGTGGCGTAGAATGAAAAAAATCTACGGATGTCACGCCAAAGTTCAGGGTTTACTAAAACCATCTTGATTTGAATATATAAGGCGAGTTTTGACGCGTCTGGCGTCACTTTACTAAGGCAGGTAGAAAAAAGAAACTGCTGCTTGAATCCGTATAACTTGTCCCTCATCCTTCTGTATCGCATAGCATAATGTGTTGAAATATCAATTAGGAGAGACAATTGGGATCTACGCCGCTTTTCCTGCCAGTAATAAGGCACGTTTTAATGGGTTCTATGCGGAGTTACCTCCTTTTCTAGGAGCCAAGACTCAATCACTCTAGAGTTGGCAAATTTCTTTTCAAGCTGACGAGTCGAATGTTTGCGGCCGGACTTATGGGGTGATTTTATTCGACGGAGCGGGTATGTAGAATATGCAAAGACATGTCTTTCATATCCAGTAATCCCGATCCGAAAATCATCCAAAAATCTATCCGGGCAAAATTCCACTTTCTCAATATAAAGGCACAAAGTTGGTTCCAGCGGCTAAGTGTGGCAAAAGTATGTAAATCAGAAGTTCAGTCGTATGTCATTTCTGCTACAGATACTTGTTTACAGGCTGAAGTATTGGCTACTAAAATTGTTCTCGATAAATACCGACTCGTTCGCCGAGGTCGGCTGTACAAACAGCTGGAGGATCAGCGGTCCACATCGTGAGGAACATAGTCTCACCAGAATGTAGAATTGGTTGCTCTTGTGAATGAAGAGTAATTTGGTTAAAGCTTGATATTCGTAGTGCATCAAATTTTGATTTCTTGACCGTGTACAGACCGCAAAATTCAACTCCAATGTTTGGTGAGGCAATATATGTATTAAATAAAGTTCTTACCAAAAATTAAGGCAAACTAATCGCCAGAAATCTTAACGCGCAGGCGATCGATTGGAAAGATGTATCAGTAATCGGTCCACAAAAATCTGTTGATTCCAGACTACCAGAACTGATGACTAACCTCTTTCTCCAACAGGTTATCACCTTTCCAACGAGAATCAAAGGACAAATTTTTGGCTCTCGTTCTTACAACAGACCGCATTAGCGCCGGCGAGCTTAAGTTCATAGCATTGCTTGATAAGTGCGCCTAGGTCATGCTGTTGCCGGAATACTGCTTGTTCACTCAACAAGTGGGGACAACTGAGGTTCGACTAAATTTCTGGCGACGAAATCTTGCTGCCATTAGAAGTGAATTATTGGTGTTAAAATGGCATGGCGTTCTTACGGGGGCATCCGGATGTCGATTCGAACGCTGTCAAAGGTGTTATGAGGGCCGTTTTGCATAGTAACCGTTCAACAACAAAAAATTCAGACGGAAAATCGTTCTGTATGGTCAACACGGGGTGCAAAAGAGAGATGAACAGAGTAAACAAACTTAAGAAAGGGCATCTAATAGAAAAACAGCCCTTGCGTTGCGAATTTTTTTCCTTAAAGTGGAACCTGATAAACACAAACGTCCGCAGATCACGAAAAGACAACCAAACACGAATTATAGGACAGACCGTTAATGCGCCAAAAGTACACTTCGGGTACGTGAACAGTAGGTTAAATAATAAATAGGTGGTCTTAGCGTTGAAAAGAGAAAACAATGAGGACTTTAACGAAAGTGACTTAAAGGCAAAACACATCAGCCGTTTTTCGCATCAGTTTTCACTGACGAAACAGACTCTGACCAGGCCAACTTTTCTTCTGCAACAAGCAGCGCATTAATGGAAAGCATCGATTTCACAGAAGAGGATGAGCGGAAGGAATTTCATGCGCCTAAGGAACGCAAGTCTCCGGGTCCGGGCCAAGTACCAACAAAAGTATTGCAGGGGCTTGCGTGCGAGGTCCTCAGACCGCTCTCACATATTTTCCAGTCGTACTTTAACCGAGACATTCTATCCTCTGAGTGGAAGGTAGCGAATATATATCTCATTCACTAAGGTGGATCTAAACGAGTGCTGACAGTTATCGGCCGGTGAGCCTAACATAAATTTGTTGTAAAGTCATGGAAATTATAGTCTAATACTGCCATGAAATGCCTCAAAAGAGAGGATTTTTTGCCATTGTTCAATACGGATTTCGGTGAAACCACTCCAACTTAACCAATATCTTCTTTTAGTGGAGGATTGATTCCGCTCGTTAGATGGAGACATAGAAGTCGATGTCGTTTAAATCGACTTCAAGATAGTCTTTGGTAGTGTTCAATATCACCAGTTACTCTGCAAAGTCCGAGAGTGTGGGCTAAGGGGAACCTACTAAACCGAGTAAAGGACTTCTTCATTGACCTATCGCAGTTTGTGCGCCTTGGCAGTACAAAATATGTGCCAGTTCAGGTTGAGTGGAGTACTTCGGGACACGGTTTTCAGAAGATTAATATTTTAATATAACTTAGTTCATTTATTGCAAAGGAGTCATGTCTGCGGATGACATGAAGGTATGGCAAGCGACTATCTGCGAAACTAATGAACGGACTGTGCAGGAAGGACCTAACTGTCTAGGTGAATGTTCCATCATAGGTTGATAAAGTATAACCATGAGAAGTGTGCGGCACTGCGGCTCAAAACAAAGAAGAGGAGGGCAAATGAAGATGTTCATAAAAAATTTCTTTACGGAAGGCGCCTGCTGAATGCAGATGAAGAATAAGACCTCAGGATTACCATTTTCCGTCCCTGAAACCTCCTCTCAATGCGACAGGGCAGTCAAAATGACAAATAGTATTCTATTCGTCATTAAAAGGACTTCCATAGATATGAGTAAGAAGCTATTTGGAGAAGTATACGGAGTATTTATTTGTTTGCAACTGGAATATGGGATCCAGGCATGTCCTTGACTTAAAAAGGATATAAGTAGCATGAAAGGGTTCGGAGGAGGGCGACCAAAATCGTGAATGGGCTAAAGTCCTTACTATAAATATCCTGACTTGATGCGCTTAACTTTTTGCCCTTGAGTACAGGCAAATCCAAGAAGATCTCATTCTGACCTACCGGATTGTTAGGAATCGAGACCAAGTTCCGCATTTTGACGACTTCTTTGCAATGGCCACGACAATCAACCTGCGTGGAAACTCTCCCAAAGTTAGAGGAAGCTTGTCTCACCTAGATGCTCGTGGGTGCTCGTTTTCGCAGCGAGCCGCCAGTGACTGGAAAGGACTACGCGAGGAAGTAAAGATGGCGGACTCGACAGGGACATTTAACTTTGAATCGGATGCGCATTCACCCGAAAAATATGGCTCGACTGGACAGGAAAGGTCTGTTAACCAAACTAAAGGCTCGCATAAGCCTGCCACTAGAGTGGATACTGTAATTTCATATTCACATTATCTTCGACACCTGCGGGAGTACGGATTCCGGTCCTTTATTATTACTACGATTACCTGTGCAATTCGTGTGCTGCTGACAAAATGATAGGAAGGTGTTTACTTCAAACTTAATATTTTATGACCTTTCAAATATGGCCTTGAAAGGCATTGCCTATTACCCTTACATGTACTGAACTCTACTGAACCATATAAGCGCGCACGAAGACGCAAGTAGACTCCAGCAGTTTGAGGTCCGTGCGAATGGGGTTTGGTTAGGCCTCCACGTTAGGGATAGATGCCGAGGCACCAACGTTACTGGCCGCTGAATCTACCGAGATCTCCAACTCGAATGTACCTAACA